ATCCTTTGGCTTATTGGCCAATCGGCTGTTTGTGGCACATTTGCTTATTGGTTATTTGTGGCACGTCAACTTATTGGTTGTTTGCATTAGGTACCACTCTTTTTGTGTTTAACCATCCTTAGACTTATTGTATGCCACGCTCTTAGTGCCAGTTGAACAATTCTGCCTACAGTTGCTCTTTGATTACTCTTCCTAAACATTAAACCTAAATTATGCAGTTTGTTAGACATTTATTACCCATACTTTTTACGCAACAATGTATACATAATCAACAAATAATAGGATTTGGGAATCAATCATAAAGGAATTTATTAAAAAATAAATTGCATGTAATGATTTCAATTATCATTCCGAAGATCATGCTTTGCACCCGGTCAGCATGCATTGGCTTAAATCATGTTTTCAACTCTTTGTTGTGATAATACAATGATAAAGACTTCTATAATAGGAGGTCTAAATTGGCGACATAGGGTAACATAAGCTTGTTCATTCAATCAAATATCTAACAGAAAATTGGCAGATTTTGGGTGGCAGTGTTGATGCGACTTTCTATCGTAGTTTCGGGAGCTATAGATTATCTGGGACGCCACGTGCTTTTTATAGGGCTAGTACTATTTTTGCTGGCCGCCTCTGGACCGTATCGTGTATGAACTATATTTTTTAATAAAGAAAATTGATTCCCACATATGGCGCCAAAATGTAGGTGCATAAAATCTCGGATTGAACACTGAGGTTCAATCTAAGAATTTCAATGCTCGAATGCTCAATCAAGAACAATGGAAAATTGTTGAATTATAAAAAGTATTCATAAGAAAGAAGAAGAATCATATTGTTGAGAACAACCTTTCTTCATGGAACCTTTTTAGGACCTTCCTTTTTGAAAAATCAATCAATTCCGTGATTCTTTGCAATTTATTGTTCGTATGTTACTTATAGTCGTGCTGGTAAAGACTTCGTATTGGGTTTTCTGGGCTACGAGTTACTTTTGGACTTCCTTGGCATATGGGTTTTCCTTAAGCCCTTCGGATGGTCTCTTGGTTCGGGTCCTTATCTTTTGGCCTTGTTCTTAGGACTGGCTTCTTTACATAATTGCGTACACATGGAGTTTTGTGATTAGTGGAAAAATTTCCCCCCACAACTATTGTTTTCTTTCTTCTCCCTCTGAATATCTCAATCAAAATGAACCTAAGAGAGACAAGGAAGGAGAGGAAAATTTGAAAAAACTTTTTGTCAAACACCATTTTGAGCACATGTTTTGACATTGACTCCTTGTTAGTATTAAAATAGAATCTAAAAGTCCATTCATTAGTAATAAAATCATTATTTTATTTGTTATATTTAGTTAAATTTTAGTTATTTTTTGCTGCCCATCAAGCTCGTGTTTTTAATTAAACTTTATTACGTGCTTTTTAGTGTTTAATTTTGTGAAGGTTACAAGTCCTTTAATATGGTGTGTTGATTGTGTGCTAGTGGGAGTTTGTATTTGTATTAGTGGAAGACATGAGACTCAAGTCTACTAAATACTATGTTTGTAGGATTAGTGGGAGTAATTGGGCATTGAAATGTAATTGGTTACATAAGTCTTACAACCTATATAAACTCATGTACAATACCTATTTTATATGGAGAGAAAAATTGAATAAGAAGAATAAGTTGGGATCAAGTGAAATAAAATTGTTTTTCCTCCATTTTTATTCTCTTCCAAATATTATATTGTTGTGTGTGTATCTAGGCCATTTCCAATAAAGTGGTATCAGAGCCAGGTTCCAACATATCAAAGCTAGGTTTTATGTTCAGAGCCTAGACGATCCTGAAGGTCTGACGAAGTTGATCCTAGAAGGTTCAATATTTTGAGAAAAACATGTTTCTCCTTGATGATGATGAAGAGGGGAAAATGTATTTTCTTAGTGAGAAGATAATGTTCTCTAATTACAAGAGAATGAGAATCATCACGACTTCATACCTCAAAGCATGTGATTTGTAGGATATTGTTGGATTAGAACCAAAGAATGGCATGTCTAACAAGATTCGTGTGAAGAAAGAAGAGAAGGCATTGATAATATTGTGAAAGGCAATACATCAAGAAATTTGGGAGTATTTTGGAGAGTCCAAAACTCCAAGTTGTGTTTGGAAGATGCTTGAGACCATCATTTCCAATCATAGAAGTGAATCGCCACCCATAGAGTATTAGGTACAATACTTTGAGAATGATGAGTTTACGAATGATGATTATGAAAGTTTTGAGGATAAAATTATAGAGAATGAAGAGGAGTACAATGCAAATCAAGTTGAAGAATTTGAAGAACAACTTGAAATGGTGAAGGAGGAAGAGGTAAAGATATGTGTTGAAGAAGCGATTAAAAAAGTGGAGAATAATGAAGTTAAAAGAGAAGATAAAGGAGAAGAAAGTGCTAAAGAAGATGCAAAAGTTGATGAAATTAGTGAGTTAACAATTTTAGGTATGGTTCCAAATTCCACTTTCAAATAAGTTAGATATAACTTATTTGATAAAATTTTGATTTCTTCATATTCATCTCAATTGGAAAATGAAATCAAATATTATGATAATTATGGTCATGTTTTGGAGAATGATGAACTTTTTTTGGAGAAAGTTGTTCCAAAGAAGTATTAGATTGAAGCTCAAGAGGATAAGAAATTGTCAAATTATTTTTTTTAAAAAAATAGTTTGGAGAATTTTGTAATTGACACAGGTTGGGTGAATATGGAGTTATTTTTTTACTCTAAAGAAGAAGCACGTGTGAAGTGGAAGAGGTAAAGATATGTGTTGAAGAAGCGATTAAAAAAGTGGAGAATAATGAAGTTAAAAGAGAAGATAAAGGAGAACAAAGTGCTAAAAAAGATGCAAAAGTTGATGAAATTGGTGAGTTAACAATTTCAAGTATGGTTCCAAATTCCAATTTCAAAGAAGTTAGATATAACTTATTTGATAAAATTTTGATTTCTTCATATTCATCTCAATTGGAAAACGAAATCAAATATTATGATAATTGTGGTCATGTTTTGGAGAATGATGAACTTTTTTTGGAGAAAGTTGTTCCAAAGAAGTATTAGATTGAAGCTCAAGAGGATAAGAAATTGTCAAATTATTTTTTAAAAAAAGTAGTTTGGAGAATTTTGTAATTGACACAGGTTGGGTGAATATGGAGTTATTTTTTAACTCTAAAGAAGAAGGACGTGTGAAGTGGAAGAGCCATAAAAATTTCAAGAATAAAAAATATAGATGGTGCATTTATATAAAGAGGATGATATATGATTGTGTGAAGACATCAAACAAGCATTTTAAGATTTTTCACAAGCCATACACATCAGTGGAAATGGCCAAGATGATTGTTGCAGTTGAAGGAGGTAGAATTGAAGGTCAACAAAAGAACTTTTGTTCAGGTCCCAAGATCAATAAGAGTTTATTTGAAAGTTACAAAATCAAGTTTAAAGGGAGGTGTTGGAAATTAAACTTGATTATTTGCTTTTTAATGTTTAATTTTGTGAAGGTTACAAGTCCTTTATTATGGTGTGTTAATTGTGTGTTAATGGGAGTTTGTATTTGTGTTAGTGGAAACATCAGATTTAAGTTTATTAAATATTATGTTAGTGGGATTAGTGGGAGTAATTGGATATTGAAATGTAATTGGTTACATATGTCTTAGAGCCTATATAGACTCATGTACAATCCTTATTTTATGTGGAGAGAAAAGTTGAATAAGAAGAATGAGTTGGGATCAAGTGAAATAAAAGTGTTTTTCTCTATTTTATTCTCTTCCAAATATTATAGTGTTGTGTGTATTTAGGCCACTTATTTTCAACAAAATGATGTCATAGCAAAAGGCAACAACTCGAAGATGAACCAAGGTTCTGGGTATGAAAGGTTACTTGAGAGGCAGTACCTAGAGCACAAGCAATAATTCTCTCTCGTAACAAACCACTACTCTTTAAAGTCCTCGTGGATGCAAGACTTTCTGCCACTAAGAAGACTTCAATGGAACCTTCTGAGATATAAAAAAATAGACTTTACTGGAGTCAATTCTATGGTATTATTTTTTTTTGTTAAATTCATTAAAACTATCAGTGATTAAGTAGATAACCATCTTAAACTACAAAATACTCCTAAAACAAAATACTCCTTTAAAGATACGAGTGTTTGTTGCTGTTTACGGATCTTTTAAAAAATTTATTTATGATCAAAACAACGTGGTTTCAACTTTATTTACTTAATGAATGGACTTTTAGATTGTATTTTAACACTAACAAAGAACTTCTGATTAAAAATTTCAACAACCAATCAGAAAGTCACAACTCACCGAACACAAACCAAAGAACTTGGCCTTCTCCAAAAGCCCAATATTCGCGGCACACAGTTCCTCCACCTTGTCCGCCATGTGCTACCATAGAGTCGAGCTTGGCATTGAAAATTTTATTCTAATCTACCCTTCACCCGTCTAAGGCATGGAGCACTTAACGGTTAATTTCGAAATGGTTTAACGGCGGCCGGCAACGGGTCTTTTGCTAAATTTCTTTTTGCAGTGGGTATTTGCAGGTTTACCCATAATTCGAGAGGGTTTATTGCAAAAAACAGTAAACTGTATTTGTTGTATGAGTTGTATTCAGTTTCTTATTTTATTTGTTATATTTAATAACAACAATTAATAAATTAATAAAATATGATAACACAGTAAAGTCGTCTGTGTCCTACAATTATTTGTTTTAACGTGCAATTAATTCACCAACAATTTTGACCGGGCAATGTGAACAAAATGTTGAGATTCACACCACGTATAAATTTTTTTTCTCCCTAAATGACGTTCTGTATTAAGATAAAACAATAAAGTATTATGAGTATAGAGATTCACACCTAATTAAGGTTGCTTGATTTGATATATAAATCGAGCAGTACTTGGAAGCAATAATACAGGTAATTAGGTGATTGCAGGCAGTCTTGGCTTTTTTAAACCAAAGCCACTCACTGCAGTAGATATTGCTTGCTAATGGCGAACCAAGAAACTTTTTCAAGTCAACAGAGAATTAGGTCTCAGCTTTTGGAGTCCCTGGAGAAGAAGATCACTTCCAACGAAGACAATTTTGAGGGTCTGAAGACCTACAAGCAGAACTGGTCCTCCTTTATTTATAGGATTCCAGTTGAGACTCGTAAAGTAGATGAACGTGCCTATACACCGAGCGTCGTGTCCATTGGGCCTCTTCACAGAGGGAGCGAACATCTGAAAGCAATGGAGGAGGACAAATTGAGCTACATGCAGTACCTTTTTCTCCATTTCACTGATGCTGCGGAAAGGCTAGAACGTTGTGTGGACGCTATGTTTGATAACGAATCTTATGCTCGTACGTGGTATGCAGAGTTGAAGATTAGAGTTGATAATGCAGAATCAGCAAGGGTCAAGTTCGCAGAAATGATGCTTATTGATGGCTGTTTCATTCTTGAACTTCTATTCAAGAATTACATACGAAGTACAAACCCCACCATTAGGGACCCCATTTTGGACAACTATTCCATGACGGCCGCGGTCCGACATGACCTGATGCGACTGGAGAATCAGATTCCCTTCTTTGTTCTTGATACATTGTTCAACCTCACAGTGGCAAGTCTACTAAAAGACTACGAAATCTCTCTCAAGGGATGTATCTTCTTATTCTTTGGGGGTATGATTGGCTTACAAAGAATACCAAACCCGAATCCCGTAAACCCCATTCACATACTCGATCTTTTACACCGTTGCTACTGGCCTTCTGGTGATCTTAATTACCCATCGGCCACATCACAATCCAAATTCGAATATTCTGCAACACAACTTGACTTGGCAGGAGTCAAGTTTAAGGCAGCTGTTTCTGAAATCAACAACCTTTTCAAGGTAAACTTTCGTATTGATCATTCTTGTTTTCATGTGTTTACAAGTGGTTGCTTTGAAATTCCACCTTTCTCCATTACTTCCTCAACCGAACCATTTTTGAGAAATCTCATTGCTATGGAGGAATTTTACTTTGACGGAAGGTTTCGTTATTTCACATCTCATGCTTTCCTTATGGATAAACTCATCAACACCGCGAAGGATGTTGATCTGCTTGTACAAGCAGGAGTGATACGCAACTATTTGGGTTCGAGTGAAGAGGTGGCGCATCTCTACAACAATATATGCAATAATGTTTATGTAGGTGGTTTCCACTTTAATGAGCCATGCAATCAGGTGACTGATTACTGCAACCTTTTCTGGCCAAGGTGTGTAGCAAGACTTAATCGTGACTATTTTGGTAATCCATGGACAGGCTTATCAGTCTTTGCTGCCATTTTCATTTTTGTCCTCAGCTCGCTGCAGACAATCTATGCCATCCTTGCTTATTATGGTAAGAACTAATAGGTATATGTTAAAGAGCTGAAGTATGCAATAATGTGGATGATTATGTCATTGTTTCTACCAAGCTATCTCATCGGCTAGATCATCCTAAGCAACCTTGAATGTCTTTCATAAAAATCCTTTTACAGTTTGTCTTTTAGCTTATGTATTTTTCATCTCTATGGTTTGTCATTTTATATTATGACATAGATGGTTTGGATTCTGTATAAGTTCTAATGTTTGAGCACTGGTATGAATTTCATTATCCATGTCAACTTTTGTAAGACTTTCTCTATTTGTCAATCAATGAACCAGCAAGCTTCCAAGTAATATGGAGGGGTCACACCGGTCCCACTTAAAAACCATAAACCTTGGACCCGTAAGCCGGTGTACAAAGCTTTGCTAGACATTATTAGACGCATTGATGAACTTTGATTATCCATTCATTCCAGGTATTTCCGAACAAGGGATGATATATATTGAGAACTTATGTGCTCTTGGAATGTGTGCTTGTGGGTATGTGTTTGTGCTTGTGATTGCTTTTGGGAGAGTGATGTTTGTTATGAAGATTGATTTAATTGGATAGTTGGATTAAAGTGCAAAGTGAATGTGTGTGAATATGTCGTTGGATTGTTAGCGCGATTTTAAACTTGAAATAGACGTTTGATTTATAGGTCGTTTTATTGACTTGAAAATATACAACACGCCTTGAAGTGGTTTTTGATGATCCAAAAATATCCAAAATGGTCACTTTGTTTTGAAAAATGCTTTTGCACAGAAAGTGGTTGGAAATGACCATTTCGGTAAGAAAATGATTTTTGTTGTCGAAGTGGCTGAAAATCACCACTTACCAAAAAGTGGGTTTTTGAGGTACCAAAAGTGACCGAAATGACCACTTTGACACAAAAAAATGTTTTCGGTGCCAAAAAGGGCAAAAATGACCATTTCCTTAAAATTGAGTTTCTAAAAAGTCGTATATGACCAAAATGACCTTTTATCTAAAACTGAATCAAAAGGTGTCCAGAATCAACAAAAGTGACATTTTGTAAATAAAATGTGCACTTTCAATTTTAAGCCAGTTTTGATGTCAAAAATGGTTGGGAGTGACTGGGATGGTAATTTAATAAAGAAAATTGTAGAAAATGACTGATTTGATGGTTAATGGATGTGTAAAGTGTTGAAATTCCCTCGGGTGGTGGTTCCGAATACGGAAAGCTACCCATAAATCCCACGAGGAGAAAACCATTTGGTTAGCTTCCGAGAGGCCATGATAACCTCACGAGAACCACCTTTTGCGTGTGTGTAATCGACTACAATGACGAGAAGTCAAAAATGTCATCTCGTGGTCATTGGACAGGCGTGTGAAAGTGTTTGCTCATTTTACATCAATAAGTAAATTTAAAGACATAAAGCACGTAAAAATGCAAAGATGAGCAATATAATGACAAAGAGAACAATAATGGACATGAAAATGAAAAGGGAGGCCGGAAAGTGACGATCCTAAATACGAAGAGCTACCGGTAAATCCCGTGAGGAGATAACTATTTGGTTAGCTTCCGAGAGGCCCTGATGACCTCACGAGAATGATCATTTGCGTGTGTAAGTCTAAATACAACAATGGGAAGTCAAGAATGCCATTCCGTTGTCGTAGGACATGCGTATGAAAGTGTGTGTGTGTGTGTGTGTGTGTGTGTGTTACATCAATAATAACGTAATGAACTCAAAGTTTGTAAAGATACACAAATATCAAAACAAAGAGAGAAAAAGTGAACTAAATCATGTACAAATAAGCAAAACAAGATGAAAAAGAATGGTAGAGAAGATCGGTACCCCACTTTGTTTGAAGTTCTTAGTCCGTTCTTCAAGATTTTGATGACTAGCAAGCCTCTCTAGCTCTCAAAGTGTAGAGAGTGAGAAAGCTGAAATGCAAGTGTGTGATTAGAGAGAGTGTGTGTGTTCTTGGTGCTTGTGTGTGTATGTATATGTGTGTGTGTGTGTGTGTGTGTGTGTGTGTGGAGAGAGAGAAAGCGTATTTTTAGAGAGAGAGCATTTCTAGAAGTGGGCAATTTTTCTAAAAAAGGGGACCATTGAAGTGTGGGAATGTGTGTACTATAAATAGGCAAAAAAGGGGGGACTAGGTAGTAATTTTCAAGGGACTTGAATGCAATATTCGAAGGACCAAAACACAATTTTCATTGACGTTTTAGCAATTTTTGAAAAAATACTTTTGATCCAAGGGAGGAGAGCAAATGAGAACAAGAGGGGAGGACCAAGTGTAAGGCCTCCCTTGATTTTCATACAGAAAGGGTAGGGTTCATGAATCCATGCAGCCTAGTGTTGTACCTACTTTTACTTTTTCAATTTTTCTCTCCTAGCATATTTTTAGAAATGCCCTCTTGTTCAAGAAATTACAATTTCATGCCATTTTCGAATTTAAGGCCATTTCTTAGGATTTTTTTACTTTATGATGACCTCACACTGCTAATGTGGCATATTTTTTCCTTTTAAAATTGCTGAAAATCCCTACATAGTGCAGTTTTACCTATTTTCCCCTTATGATGGAAATTAGGTCAAAGTGGCATGGGACAAGAACATGGCCAATGTTATAATGGTTTCTAATGTTTTTGAACCCCCTGAATCCAATGGTATTGATGTCCATTTTTCCATTTGAATTTTCCCCTAAAAAGTCAAACATTGGATTTGACTAGTTGGTCCCTACCGTAAAGACTTGGTCAAATGTGGGGCCGGGTTCGAAGGTAGGCAATATTATAGTGCCTTTTTAGGTGTTAGAACCTTCTAAGCACAATGGTGAGGTCCATGGGAGGGTTCGACCATTGTTGTGAAAAGTCAAACTTGGCATTAACGCTCGGGCCTTGCTGAGGGTTTTGGTCAAAAGTGGGTGATGGAAAAGCGCATAGACCTCGAGGAGAAGTTTATCTTAGGGTTTTTGGGTCTTTTGGAGTCAATGTGAAGTTCATTTCTCATTTTAACAATCAGATCACGGGGTTATAGTGTAAAATGCCAATTTTACCCGTTTTGGGGAATTGGTGATCGGGTGTTGAGAAATGTGTGATGTGGTCGATCGAAGTGTTTTGTGTCATTATGTGATATATATCGTAAGTGTAATGGTAAAGTATTATATCCAATTGGACGGTTTGATTATCTGTTTTCATTTTTCTATCATAGACGGGCCCTATCAGACGAAAGGTCTCGGGAATGGAAACATCATTCGTTCTCATGATTTGGAAGATTGGTAAGTGATGAGCATTGAAAAATGCGTATTTAAACCCCTTAAGCTTAGGCATTCTAGTACTTTTATCTATCTTACTTTACTGTTTTAGATTGATTTCGTATTATTTCCATTTTTAGGCACTTATCCCGAAAATAAGCTAACTCAGCCAAATAAGAGCTTAATTGAAGCAATTCTAGGATTAAACAAAGAAAGGAGCAAAGTGGAAAAAGAAAGAAACAAATGAAGCCAAAGGTGGGAAGCCACAAAGTTCGATCGATCCAACTTCAAGGTTCGATCGATCGAACACTGATCGATCTCAGCACTTCAAGATAGATCCAAACCTTGACTCAAAAGTAAAAAATCCAAAGTTCGATCGATCTAACACCACCCTTCGATTGATTGAACACTTTTGTCCTTATTCAAATGATTAATCTCATCCACAGCTGTACCACCCACTAACCACTTTTGTCCTTTTTCCCAAAAATATCTCCCAAAATATCTCGAATTTGTCTTTTCCCAAAAAGCTCAACCAGTTGGATCGATCTAGTCTCAGTTCGATAGATCTCAGCCAGTTCGATCAATCCAAGTCCAAGGTTCGATCGATCGAACTTCCTCTAGTGCAAAAAAGTTAAAAAGCCAGCTTGTTCAATCCATCCTCTATCCAATCATTAGAGAATATTCTTTGCACGATCCTAGCTCATTTGGTATGTCACTTGACCTACCTATAAAAGGAATATGATGCACTTTTTGAGGGATATACAAGATATACAAGAGACTTAGCATTTTAGTAGACAATTTTAGAGGCCATTCTTAGTATAGAAGAAAAGAGGAGGAGGCTAGAGACACCATTGGAGTTCTTCATCAACAAGGAGCAGATTTCTTCCATGGAGTTAGCCCTTGAAGGTTGGAGCAACATCACCATGAGTGACTAGACATCCTTTTGGGGCTAGAGTTAGCCCCAAGCATGCTTTCTATATCTTAATCTTGTGTATTATTAAGGGATTAGTGTTGTAATTAATGTTTTGACACTTTGATATATATAGATCTTGATTGTTCAATGATTTATGTGGTTAAATGCTTTCAATTGATTATTTTACTCTATCCATATATCTATATGTGTTAGAATAGATGTTCATGTGCTTGTCTCTAGATTTTGTGTTATTGATGCATGTCTATGTGTATTGATACTATAGATTTAGAGATTGTCCAAATATAGTGCTTAATGGAATGCTCTTGTAATTTTCTTGATGGTTCATACTTATTCCTTGATAGATTGTACCTCTCCCCTAGTTTATTTTCATGCTAGTAGTGTAGATGTAGTGTAGTTGTAGTGTAGTGTTAAATGGGAGGACAATCCATGCTTGTTGTTTGATTATCCAAGCTTTTGAATGCAAGTAGTATATGTCTCTAACCTTGTGTTGTATTTGGATTGTGAGCTTAATGAAAGGATTAATGACTTATTTTGATCTATTGTGCCTTTCACATATTGTCTAGATAATATATGCTTCATTGCTTAGATATATTGTGCCTTTCACATGATGTTTAGACAATGCATGCTTAACTAGTCATCCTTGCTTGTTGAATCAACCAAGCACACACACACACCAATATTGCAACACACCATTTGCCCTCATTAGTCACTTGTCAATGCTATAGAAATGCATTACTTGGTGGTGATCTCTAAACCCCAAGACTCTTCTCTCTCTTACTTATTCTTAATTGCATTCTTTTGTTATCACTTAGTTTAATTTAGTTGCTCTCTAGTCTAATCAACCAACCAACCAATTGT